GTGAGAAGTAAAAGTTAACACAAATCATAGCCCTTTTTGGTAAAAGCATGAATTGTGCTGCTTTATGTTAAAGCATGTTAAAATGTATATTGTAAGCCCTATGTAAAATTTGTTGTGCAGATGAGGCTCTGTAAATATTCCCTTAGGTAGCAAAAGCAATAAGTTGTTACCCAAGAATGAGCAGGGTTAATTGTTATTGTTATTATTGCTAGACATATGCCCAGAATATCTGGAATGTATGAAGACTGATGGTAGATGTGACAGAGCACATTTCATAGATCAGCTTTCTGCAGCAGATCCTGGTGACCTTGCAATGTATTACCTGAAGAACTTTCAGGATCCTGAGTGCAGCTCTTTGCACCATGAGCATGTTTCTCTCACCACCTGATAAATATTTGTCCTGTCTTGGACCTGAATTTATTTATTTCTATATTTTGGGAGCAGCAAATTTGTAGCCATCAGTTCAGATCATGGGAAATCCAACTGGGCAGGTTGGAGACCAGCCCGGTGGAGTGCCCTAATTAACAGGAACATGTAATTAAAATTGAAGCAGATGTGGCTTGGGCAGGTGGTATTTCCTGAGCGTTTCCTGCGTGTGCACACTGTGTGTGATGGACACAAATAACTCCTCTTTCTGCAAGTGTGGGAAGTGCTGGTGCATCTGCTCAGCAGTTGGTGTGTGCGAGTGCCACAGCTCAGCTCTTAATGGACTGAAACGAGCTCTGAAATCCTCAGCATATGAAAACATCTTTAAAACTCAGCCTGGACAAAGTTTGAGGTTTAAAAAACAACAACAACAAAAAAGAGACATTTGCATGAAAGGCTATAAATGTAATAACCCCCACGTGATGCGTTTCCTGCATTCTTTTGTGATTACCTGCTACCAGCTACTGTTGGGAGCATCGTGTTAGACAAGAGAACACTTTGATCTGATGCAGCTTTACAAAATATGAGCAGTCGTTGCAACTCACAGGATCTGAGAGCAGCTACTCAGCTGAAAAATCGATCTGTAAAAATTCCAAAATTGCTTTTGTTGTTTGCTCTTTTCTAAAATTGCGGTAGTTGCTTTAGGAACAGTTTTGGTGAACTGGAAGAAAATAGTGGAAATTTACAGTCAAACTATAGAATAAGGCACTTAAACATCTCACTCAGCAAACCTGGAATTAAGATTGTTTTTTCTTAGTAGCCCAAGAAGTGTAGGCCCGTTCCCCATGTTAATGGCAGTGCAGGTGGTAAATCTGAAAAGAACAAAACTAACCAAACCAACCACACTTGAAGTTTTATGCATTTGCGGGGAACTTTTGTCCCTGTAGATTTTTCAGATTGAATCTGTAGAATCCTTCTGCAATTCCAATTTTTTTTTTTTTTCATGGAGTTTTATTGCAATTTAATAGGATTATCTGAGAAGTAATTGTGTCATATAGTTAAATTATTCCATCTCGTGGTTGTTGGAGTGACCTGCTGTAATTTTTCAGTATCTGTTGAGTGGTGTTTCAGTGTCCCAGCTGGCTTATTTGCAATACCTTGTTCTCTCCTTTGGCAAGCTGTGTCAAAAAGTGCTGTTGTAGCAAATGACTTTCCATTAAGGCACGGCAGGTCTGTGTTCCCCATGGCTACCAAATTGAAAATTAAATTTGTATATTTTGTGTGTGTGTTCATTTATCTTTTATAATCGTCTGGTAAAGAATAGCCTTTTGAAGCTGCAGAGGCTGCAGAGCCCCTGGCTTTATTGCAGGTATATCTTCAACATATTTAAAATTCTTTTTCTAGGTTTAGGAATCTTTAACAGTGGTGGTCTTTTCATCACATCAAAGTGGGAAATCTCTACCTTATTCAAGTGAAGTAGGGTGAACTTTCTGGGGTTTAGGTGCAATTTTACTTGGGTTTTTTTGGGGGGTTCAAGAACTGAGCATTTTGAGATGGAGGAGGATTCTCAAGAAATGAGTTTATGTCCTGTTCTGATGTACATTAGTTCAATACTGATCTGTATTATAAAGTAAAAGTCAGGAATTTGTGGAAATCTCTAAGAGCATCCTATAAAGGCACGGGAATGTTCCAACTGGCATTGTTACATTTATTAATGTTGATTCTGACTTAGGACCAAATCTTCAGTCTATGGTGGTTCTACTTCACTGGATTATGTAGATTTACAGATGTGCCCATAAACTTTGTGGTTATTCCCATTGAATGAACCTGAAAAAGTACCTGAATAAAGCATCTTTTTAATGTGACCAAAGGGAGTAAAAAATTTGGCTGAAGTCATCAGAGGCAGTGCTGTAAATGGAAATTGCAATTGCTTGGTGTTGGTTCCTTCTGAGCCTGCAGCTGCTCGGGGAACTGAGAAACATCCTCATCCCCAGGGGCTGCTCCTCTCCACTGCTGAAATCCTGCTGCTGGGAGTCTCTGAGCCCTGCAAGTTCTGGGAAGGAAATAATTTGAGCATTTGTAGAGGAGGACTGTGAAGTGCATGTGAAGTGTTGATATTCTTCCAGGCTGAACTGCCAAAATTGACAATTTTCTAAATTTGGCTGGGTTTAGGAAATACTGGTTTTGCATATTTTGCTCGTTATACAATTAGTATGTGAAAAAATAATGAATTAAATTACCTCTCACTGTAAGTTCATGCAGTCAGCATCAAAGGCAAATGCAAGTCAGCTATTGTAATAAGTCCCGAAAAAAAAAAAATATTTCTGGTAGCGTTCATAAGATTTGTCAAAGTAGTCTAATATGTGCTGATTTATTGAAAAATAATGTGTGCTCATAATTTGCAATTTGATTTTAACATGCTATAAAGACATTATGGAGTAAATAGTGGGATCATTTCTGTAACTTAATCAGATGTGTTGTCACAAAAGTTTCAAAGACATGTTGATTTAATTATGAGGTGGAAAGTAACTTCTATTAGTAAGGGAGCAATTTGCTTATTGTATCTTCCTCTTTTAATGCTTAATTCCTTTTATTGTGACTGAATACTTCTCTTTGCAACGTGCCATAACCCTATTGGCCTGAGATAAGTTTCCTTAATTATTTATTCTATTAACGTTTCTATCACCTGAGGGAAATGCAGATACTCTGTTAATGATTGTGTTAATCAAAAAACTTTCTGTATTTCTGCACTGCCCAAGTTTATGTCATTACATTAGCAGGCACAGGAGATGAAATTGGAAACTTGTAATATACTGCAGATTGGATTAAGTCATCTGTGTGATGTAGACAGCTCAAAGACTTATTTTGGATAATTTTAAAACATTAAATCTGCAAGACAGTTATTGTTCCTGACAGGATCCCTGAAGTCCCAACATAAGGCCAGTGTTGCTGTAAAGATTTTGAACTTTGTGTGTGAACAGCCCTGCTGGGGCAATGCAGCCTGGATTACAACATAATGCTTTGAACAAATATATTTTATAAAAGACACATTTGTACAAAGATATGTCTATTTTTTTTAAAGCCTTTTGCATGTTGGAATAGTTCTGCCCGTGTAATGTGGAGGTGGTCATTAGGCATTTGAATGGAGTATATAATTTTTGAGCCTTTTCTAGGTAAAATAGGTGTTATAACTTCACTTTCTGCCCTTTTAAGGCCTTGATGTTGACTAGGCAGTAAATGTTCATTTTTCAAATGTTCAACCACAAGATGGGTGGAGAAGGGAGCCCTTGTGCTTGACTTCCATCATAATCTTTGCTTGCTGGGCTCTCCCTGGAAGTAGTGCCAGTGCCTTTAGCCAGGAGCTTCCCACCTGCAGCACTGCAGCTGGTTTTGGATATTGCAGGGGTACGTGGAATGCATCTGGTGGGATTCTCAGATACCTATTGCTTGCTTAAAAATACTATACATTATTCAACCATTTCTTTTTGATGTGTGCAAGACAGCCAGGGTATTTTTTGAAGTTTTGTTGAGGACCTTAAAGCAGTTAAGCTTAGTGGCCTTTTTGCGAGGAAAAAGTCTTGTGGACAAGACTTTCAGGCAGTGTCAGTATCTCTGTGCTTGGAAATCAATACATCTGTGATCCTTAATCTTCTTTGCAGTCCTGAGAGATTTGTAGATACGCACAAAAAAAAAAAAAAAATCCTCAAAAAACCTGAACTTCACAGAATCCAGCAAATATTCCATAAGCTTTTTGTGCTGCGTGTATGCAACACTTTTTATTTGAGTAATAAATTTTATTTGTGTCCTTCTTGGCTTACATGACTGCTTGTTTGCATAAGGGAAAGCCTTCAGTGTTCCTTCAGCAAGCACATCCTCTGAAGTTTTCATGGCAATAGTTTCAGCATCAGGAATCCTTTGGCACGTTCTGGGGAGGAGGGTGGGGAGGCTCCTCTGGTGCCTTCATCCTGCAGCCCCTGTGCCAGCCCATCTTGAAAGTGATTCAAACCCAGACAGCACAGACCAACCTGGGATCATCAGCATCAGTGGATGCTGCCAAAATCATTTCCATGTTTGCCCTTTGTGCTGGCCAAACTCAGATAATCCTTCAGTGCAGGTAGGAAATGTGAAGAACTTGCTGACAATGAGCACATTATCTGGGGGGACAATTCCATTCTGCTTAGTAAATTTGCTTTCTTTGATGAATTTAAGCCAAACATGTAATTATAACTAAGTTTCAGCATCATGCACTCCCTGAAGTCCTTGAGGTATTACTTCAGATTAGCTTCTTTGTGTCTAAAGATTGGTTAAATTTATGCTCTTTTAGAAATTTGATCAGCAAACAACATATGAATTTTGAAACAGTTGCTGTGATAATTCCTGTAGGATTCTTTATTTCATTTGGATATGTTTCCTATACATACATTTTTTTCTTACTTTTATTTCCTGAAAAGCAGTTGTCTTTGTCTTGTACTTGGTAAGAAAATATTTGCAAAAAAATGGAAGTTGTATTTCTTTTTGCATGTTTGATTATAGGTTTTTAATAAAGCCATGCACTGATGCATACTAAGGTAGAAGAGTCCTGGTGGGAAATAAACTAAGCCCGTGTTTAATTGTGGTTTGTATTTTTCCCCCAGAGATTTGTTGGAGTTCCCCAGAGAAGAAGATGCCGACATTGCAGCGAGGATCCTGGCTCAGTGGCGTTCCCAAGGCCTGCAGGATGTCCAGCTGCTGAATTACTCCGTTCTGCTTGACCTGCCAGGCCCTTCTTCAAACACAGTAACTCTGCACAGCACTGGGGAGTGTTTTTATCCGAGTGGACAGCAGTGCAGCACAGACCCCAAAACGCTTCAGAGCCAAGACCTCCTGTACTCGTACGCAGCTTATTCTGCCAAAGGAACTCTTGAGGTAACCTGGCCATTTGTCTCTGCCACTTGTGGTGAAATAGAGTTAGGAAACACCAGCTTTTGCTGAACCTGACTGGAAAATTGCACATAGAATCACAGAATTATTTAGGTAGGAAAAGACCTCTAAGATCATCAGATCCAGTTGATGATATGCTGAAATTGCCCAGCCTTAAAGTAAAGCATATTTATGTGAATTACATTGTGGCCAATCGTACTTAACTTAATTAACCTTATATATATGAATAGTTCATAGGAGATACGTATAGATAGAGATACAGCCTCATATATATCTATGTGAATATGTTTTTTAAGTGTCTGTGTTTATGAATTGGCTCATTTTGCTTGCATGTAAAAATCTGGAATCTGTGTCTGGAGTTTCACCTCGCTGATGTATGAGTGCTACTGGTTTGAGGGATGCTTGTAGGAAGGATGAGATGAGGCTGGGGGGAGTGCTGGGCTAATACCTGGAGCCTCTGAATTATGGTTGTGGGTCTCACATAGTTTCTTCTGTGACAACTCAGTTGACACATCTGCTCTGTTTCCTCTTGAAAACACCGATAAGTAGTTTTATCTTATTGTAGTTACTCTAGGAAGTTTTGTCAGCAAAAAGATTCTACCTTTTTGGATTTGTTACTTGCCAAGTGAAATAAGATCTTGGATTATCTTGTTTTTTTCCTGTGTACTGTCTTCACTGAGTGTTTTCCTTTCTCTTCTTGCTAAATATTTTGAGAGTGCACACAGGCCATCATTTCTGTTTCCTAGCTGAGATAGTGTAAATCTTAATTAATATTTCTGAAATATAAAAATTGCAATTTCACTGCTAATTGCATTAGTGTCATCTTCCTCCTTTTAAAAATATTGTATTATTATTCCACTGATGCTGGGGGGGTTTCCATCTTAGTTTCTTTCTTGTTTAAAATACATGTTTGTTCATGGCTTAGAACACTTACAGACTATAAAGGAACAGATTGTGAACATCTTAATATTTAAACATGCCTACTCTCCATGCTTGTCAGCCTCTGTTCTGGGGCTCTGTCCACTTCAAATTTGTTGCTAAGAAGCAAAATCAAGTAGGCAAGAAGAGGTCCTAACTTGCATACATGCTTTAACTTTTCAGTGTACTCATATCACTTTAAAGCTTCATATTTAATATTATTTTCTCATTGTAACTTTATAAGAGTAACTGTAATCAGAGAGAAGAATGGTTGTGACCTTTGAGATTTTATTTCATTAATGTCAATGGGTTGGTAACAAACTCATCAGGTTGAAGGAAATCCAGTGTTCCGGGAAAAACACTGCTTTTATTCCCAGCAGCACGTGGGAATTCCACTTTAAATTATGTTCCAGGGCAGTTTTCTCTTATGACTTCAGCAGAAATGAGGCCCATACACACCATCCTTATCACAAGGGCTGGACCTTGGCTTTGGCAAAACTCCAAACTTGCACTGGAGCCAAAGAATGACTCTCGGCATAGTTTTACAGGCAGTTCTTTGAGATAACTCAGCATCCTTACAAAACTTGAGATGTGTTCTTCTGTTCTTCAAAAAGTCTACCTGAAATGTCCTTAGATCTCGAGTTTTTGCCTAAAAGGGAAATTTTCCTATTTGTTTAGGTTACAGGTAAGTTGGTAGTGATCTAACCTTCTTGACTTTGAATCCTACACCCTAATCTCTACTACTTAAACTAATGGAAGTAGAAAAACTTTAAATGAGAAGTAGCAGGTGGTGGCTGTTGCTGGGTTCAGCCATCAGAAAGTGGCTTGATTGCTTGCAGTGGAGCTACAAGTCACGTATTTTGAATATCCTGCCGTGGTTTGTGATTGCAAAATCATGAGGGCTTTCCTGTGAACAGGTATTTTTATAACAGCTGCTCATAACCTGAATAATTTTCTTTCAAATGTGGCACATCCTTAGCAGAAAATTCCTATTATGTGTCACTTAATCAGGCTGAATTGCTAATACTGCCTCGATGCTGCTGCTTCATTGTATCTCATTTGTCTGTTTGGTTTGCTGGAAGTTGAAGCAAATAAAACCATTAAGCTATTGCAGTCTGGCTACCAGCAGAGCTACAGCTCCACTTTGATGTTGACAAGGTTATTTGTAGAACAGCAAGACTCATTTTCTTTGACCACCTGTCATGTCCATTCATCATACGGCCATTGTATATGAGCCATCCAATTTGTGCTTTCTGGTAACAGTCTAAACAGCATTTGTGACTAAAAATGTGAGCATTTGTGATGTGAAATCTACTTCAAAAACCTACTTAGTGCCATTGTGATGGATGGTGCACTTTACTGGTACTCTATATTTCATCGGGCTGTGAAAAGGTGACAGTGTTTACCCATCATGGTGACAGGCAGGGCAGCTTACAGTTCTGGAGAGGGCTGTCGAGTCACTTTTGAAATAGATATTGCAGCAGTTATGTAAATAATATATTGTAGGCTAGGTCAGCCTAAGGAAAGAATGACATACCTGAAATATATTTTTATTAAAACTTAAATATCAGCCACCTTTTATAGAGCTTAAACCTTTTGTCTGCTTGATAAAAACAGGAAAGCTGCTCTGGCCAACAGAGTGCACATATAAATGGAAATTACATTGCTTCAAATTTATGCATTAAAGCAAAATGCATTGTCAGACAGTATCCAGCCAGTCTGCAAGTGAGGGTGGTGTGGTGAATCTGAATGTGCTGCTCCTGCCCCCTGCAGCATTGGGGTGCTCTGTCCCTGGGGAGTGGAGGGGGCTGATGAGAGTGGGCTGTGAACCCTCAAAATCGGGTGTCCCCTTTCAGTGTTAGGCACAGGTTTTTGAGGATAATACTGACTTTTTGAATTGAGATCTTTCCCTGATGATCTTCCTGCTGCCATAGGGTTGCTCTGCCTGAAGTAAACTTTCACAATTGTTCAATTTTCTCTGCAGGCTGAGTAGATAAATTGTTGACAGTGTTTGTGAACTAGGTACCAAAAATGTAGAGGTAATTGAATAAATATGGAGAGGGCCCCTTCAGTAGAAGTTAAAGGTAGTGGGCATTGCTAATGGAGACTGCAAGCCCAAATAAACCCCTGCTTCTCCTTTGGTGCACTCAGGGATCACCACCACCCATGTCACACGTGGGCTACTGACACCATTTACCACTGTGGAACTGAAGGGGAACACCAGATTTTGGGGCACTGGGCAGTTGGTTTCAATCAGTTCTGCTGAGTGCAGCAGCTTCTGGAACAAACACCTGTCCACAATGTTTGTCTGCTCCCTTCACTGTTTCTTTAGCAGCTGGAAATAGTCCTAGCAGATGTAATGGTTGGTGTGTTGGAATAACATTCAAGGACAGACTAATTAAAGCAAAATGTAAACGATATTTGCTTTGTATTCACACATTTTCTGAAATTATGTTTGTGTGACCTGAAGTTTTCCTCACTTTCCTTTCACCTTCAATTTATTCACTCTTTACTTTACGGAAGTGTTAAGGAACTTTTGGCAATCCTAATTCTGCTTTCATACTTTGAACTGGTGTCCTCTGTTATACACCATTGTCTCATGATTCACTACTCTGTCTCTTTTGGAATAATGCACCAAATCCCTGTTGGTTCCTTTGCTGGTTCTTTCTTCTGGTTTGGGATTTGTTTTCACCCTCATGGATGCTCTCATCAAGCCCAGCAAAACATTATGTTTCTTTCCTGGACCTTTCATACACTGGAAGGACTGTGTTGGTTCAGGAGCCAGGAGAGGATGGCACATTCCTGAAATAGAGATGCCCATGCAGGCAGGGATTATTTGAGTGTTTATGGGCAGAAATGAATGGTGCTCTTCTCCAAGGCAGTTCTCCCAACACCTATGACTATTTTGTGTTTGTGCCTGACTGTTCCCTGACTGCTTTGACTCCTCTGCTGTGTCGCCTCTCTTCCCTGTCATCATCCACGTTCCCAGTTTCTGCTGATTCCTCTGTTGCAGCTCTGCTGATCTGAGGCATTTGTACTCCCAGCCAGCCAGGGACATCTTTGATGACTTTTGGATGGGCTGCAGGGAGCAGACAAGTGGGAATGCTGCCTGCCTGCCTCTACCCACACCATGCAGAAGAGATTCTCTGCATCTGCTGGTCACGTCCCAGTCTGCTCCGGTTCGTTTGTTTTGGTGACATTTCCTCAGCTAAATGAGAACCCACCGCAGAGATTAATGCAACCTGAAGCAATCTGGGAAGTACAAGCCCATCTGTTAAGCTCACTCAGTCACCTTCCCACCATTCTTCAATCTTGGCAAGAGGGGAATAAGGGAAGCAGGACTTGGATTTTGCTGTCAGAGCCTCTTTCGCAAGGAAGGGAGTTTGCTCACTTCTTAATCAATATCCCATTTTCTTATGCCTTGTCTTTAGATGTCTCCTCTCCCCATGCATACCCTTCCTTCCCAGGTCCATTGCAGGAAGATGGGACTCCTCCTCTACTGCCTGTTCCTCTAACCTTTCCCACTCCTGCCAGGAATGTGTCCCTACAGTCCCCACCTGTGTCCTGCAGTCCCCACCTGTGTGTCCCTACAGTCCCCACCTGTGTCCTGCAGTCCCCACCTGTGTGTCCTGCAGTCCCCTCCCCTCTCTGCTCAGATTTACAGCCCTGTTTGCTGCCAATACTGGCAGCTCTCTTCATTTCCAGCTCTGCACCAAAAGGTCTGGAGTTCCTCTGGAGGGGACAGTGCACAGGAAGTCCTTGACCCCAAAGCTTGCTTTCATTTGATTCGGTTTCATTGTGCTGGAAATGTGATTAGTGCACTCTTATTATCTTTTCTCTTCCCTCCAGCTAATCAGTGGTAATTTCCTTAACAATATTTCAGAATTAAGATTGGTGTCAGCGGGTTGGTTTTAGAAAATTTTAAAATCTTCCCAGGTTATTTTTATCCCCAGGCAAAATTTCTAAATGAGCCTTCTGCAGTGTGCTCACTCACACATCTTGAATTCCAAAGGCAGAGAGTGTTTAATTTAGATTAAATAATCACAGCATCTCTTCCTAAGTCTTTC